TCAGATACTTGGCACGCGTTTCACCAAAAGCATTTTGAACAGTCTTCAGACTCTTGTCAACAGCTGCCCTCACTGATTTGATGCTGAAGACAGAATAACCAGAAATGATTAGCAATATGGAACTCTGATGGGCAGCGAACCACTCAAGAACCTATTAATCAACAAATTTGCTGAAGGAAATGGAGATAGATAGGATACTCGCTGAGGAGAGTGACATTACGCGTTAGACTGTCGAGTGGAACCTTAATGGGATATGGAGGAAATCATGTGAGGAGGAAATGAGAACTCATGGACAATTTTGAAACTAGCTAGAAAAGACAGGAGAGAATAGAGTGAAATAGTGGTGGGTTTATGAAACCCTATACTCCAGTAGGGACCCAAGTGAATAACCATAATAAGTTGAAAATTCTATACTGGTAATCCACTTTGTGAGTTGATACACTTGGTATACTTCTTTGGTAAGCCTGATTGAAATGAGGAAATCATTCATGTGATATTTAAGTCATCATAATAAATGACTGATGAGTGTAATGCGATTTTCCAGTTTTTCAAGCCTTCATTGGTAAATAAAATCAATAAATATGTTAAATAATGCCTGAAAATCAATCATAAATGTTTATTTTTGGGGATGCTAAAAGTCAAAAACCGTTAATCCATCTTGTTCATCAGTGAGCAAAATGAGGAATATTGACAAATCAAACAATCAATCCACTTTTATTCATGGTTCATTTATTCCTGTTGTTATTGCCTATATATTTAAAAAAGTGGACTTTACTGTAAATTTTATGACCAATTCAAACAACTAGGGATAAAATCTCTCGATTATTGTTTGCTGTCTTTAAGTGGACAATGAGTTATTGATTGTCCTGTCATATCAATTACCAACCTCATTGTCATAGTAATCCACACTTCACCCTCATTTCTATTCAGATTTTTACTTTTATGTATAAATCTACATAAAAAGTAGAAAAAAGATTAGATAGGCTTAAATGAAGTGTATCTTTTTTGTCTAATTCATTCATTATATGGTTCAATAATTCACCAATTGTTACAAGATAAATAAAATTGAACATTGAACAATATTTTGGCGCGTCGATGTACATTTTTGAATATAATATCTTAACGATAATTCACAAGTTGGTCGATTGAAAGAGAAACATAGGTAGATAGATAGATAGTTAGACATACTTACAGGGAGGGTTTTTATAAAAAACTTTAAAAATCATTGTCATTAGTATTACTCTTATAAGTAAACTGAATAGACATCATGAATGCACTAAAAGTCAACTGGAAACAATAGATTGATTGATGAATAGATACAGTGTTGAATGATGCATCATTTCACCTATTGAATGACAGTAAGTCATTCATTTGTGTTAGATCCTGATATTTTGTATGTGTGTGTATGTTTATCCTACTATCTGTACATGTGTCTATGTGTTGTAGACACCAAGATTTAATGATACCTTCAGAAATGCAAAAAAAATCAATAATACTTGAATAAGTTTATACACATTAATAGAAGTAATGATAGGAGATTAAAATGTTAGTCAATTAATTATCATTTGCATTTATGTACACCTGTTGAAAGCAATTTCACTGGCACTGACCTATTCTCTTATATAAATTAGTAAGAAAACCAAAAAAATAAATATGTTATATTTAAATGTAGTTTTGTGATATTTCTATGCTGGTGACAATATAGCGTTTATACTGTTTGCAGAGGTGTAGTGGTGGTGGTGGTGTTAGTTATGGGTGTGTGCGTGGCGGGGGGGGGGGTGGATGGGGAAAAATATGAAAATGAATCCTAGCACTGATTTACTATGCAACAAAGATCTTTTAACTTTTCTTCCTTTACATACACATGGAATATCACAGTAAAAAAAATAAGATCTATATAAATGGCAGAAAATATCTTATAATATTCACTGTGAAAATTACTATCTCGATAAGTATTCTTTTCATCCAGTGACTGATTAGAATGCTATTTCTCTTCATAAGTAAGTAATGTGTAGATTATAACAGAGAAGACCCAACAACATGTATAGTGACATGTTCTAGTCTTATTATATTATTATTTTTCCCTTGGCTTCTGAGTGAAACATATGTAACAACAGAAGACAAGGGCCAGGCAAAAAGTCGTTTATTAAGGAAATCAACACATATTTATAGGTTTTCATGTACATTAATATAGATTATTGTTAGCAGAAAAACACAGTCTTCTGATTGGTTGTTTCTCACAGAAAGTTAACCTTGCATCTCTTTGTGACTGTTTCTTGAATGTCAGATCATCTATATGTATGTTAACTGTATCCGCCTACGCAAAGCCTTTGTTCTCATTTTTCTCACGACCAACATTGGAGACATAAACATTGACGTAAATTACTGTCCACCAATTTTGACTAAGAGTCAGCTCTCAGCACACATAGGGCTTCAACAGTACATCTTCACTTTGCTGTATTTTCTGCTGTCTTCTTCAGATGGGTCCACGATTGACCATAATTTCTCATCACTTACAACTCTCATAACCTCCTCCATGTCATCTTTGGACGACCAATTCGTTGCTACCCATTCGAGTTCCACTGGAGCGATGGCTTGCACTGTGCGTGATATCATTCGACAGTTTCCTCAACGTATGCTCTATCCATCTCCATTTGCTCCCACGTATTTGTTAAGCAGTCGGCTCTCGATTGGTTGTTGCCAGCCAGAGTTTCTTGTTACTAATTCTTTCTGGCCTGCCATTTGATCTTCAGTATGGAGTCAGCGAAGATGGCAGCTGTTGATAAAAGTCTTCAATATGTTGGAAATTCTTTTCGCGACACGCAGTCCAAGTTTCTCATCTGTATAAAAAAACTGACTGATTTATCATTTGTATTGAAAATCCGAATCTTGTTCCTTATGCTGGCTGAGTGCAATGCAGAAGATTTCCAGACTGGTTTCAGGTTGATGAAGGCGTATCTCGCCTTTCCGATCCTAACTGGCATTAACATCTTCATCCGTTCCGACTGCCTGTGGTTGAAACGATGCTGGGAGCCTAGATAAATGAAGGAAGTAACCTCTGTTAATTCTCTCCCATTGATGGTGATTGGTGCTGGTTGTTGTTGCTGTTCATGTTGGTTGGTTGTCTTCATCATCTTTGTCTTCTCTATGTTCATATGCAGTCCTTTCTTCGCTGTTAGTCTCCTCTGTCAGTTTATTGATTTTCGCCTGCCTGCAGGTCTTCGAGTTTGTGTGACATTAGACATATATCATCTGAGAAATCCAGATCTTCTAGCGTCTTCTTATCGGTGATCCAGCGTACTCCCGTCTCCTTACTCCCTACAGTTTTGCACATAGTCCATTCCACCACAGTCCGGAATAGTATCCCTGATAATAAACAGTCTTGCTTTAATATGGCATTCACTTTAAACGCCTCACATAGGCTTCCATTGTGGGTCACCTGACACGTACCATTATCATGTAGTCAGCTGTTGAATGAGAATGGTAAATATTTGGGGCACTGCAAGCCATAATGTTGAAATAGTTTCCAAATTACTTCTTGGTGAACGCTGTCTGGTGAAGGCCTTTGCGAAGTCGATGAGGTTGAGGTTAATATTTGACTGTCATTCTATACTTTGTCCTGTGATGATGCGCAGATATGCAAGTTGATCATCACATGATTTGCCTTTCCTGAATCCAGCTTGTTCCGGTGGGGCGAAGTTCTGTATTGCTGTATTGCTGGAAGTGGGTTTTCCCACTGGCTCCGTATCCAAGATCATAAACTAGTTGTCATGATACATCACACACACATCGATGCGTGTAGATAACTGTGGCCACCAATTTGACTGGGGAAATGTGGAAATTTTAAGCAGTGTAAACATACTAAATAAATGCAGAGAACTCCTAGAAACCTGGTATATTAGGAAGAACCAACGATCATCAGACATATTATTAAAATTCAATTTATTAACTAATATGGAATAAGCAACGCGACAGGTCAATAAAAACGATCAATATTGATGCAAATTAAAGAACAGTCGTAATAAAGGTTGTCAGTCAGGAGATATTCCTCAAGAATTCAGATAAATTCGCTTCTTACTGAAGTCTACTTTGAACATGTTGTCGAGAAAGATAGTGAAAGCTTTACAGTTCAGAGAATCACCACTGGTTAGGTAGAATTTGACAAGTGTTTTATTTTCTGAATTGAAACATTCTGTCAATATCTGTATCACATCATTTAGAACATACAACGATGTTTGTAGTTTTATTTTTGTAACATTTCTAGCAAAATTACTACCCATGATAAAAAAAACAATCCCAACAGTTGCTGTGATCACAGGCAGTAATTTTACTCGAAATATTACCAAAACAAAAAACCTTATCACAGTGTGTAAACTACTGAAATATAATCATAGTTAACAGGCTCTATTCCACAGTGCACAAACTTTCACTGACATTTACGATGTTAATTAATTAACTATTTTTTAAACAATACAACCTATAGGGGATTGAAAATCTTGTCAACATTTTAGGGGTAATTTGTTAAATTGACTTTGGATACCACTATGGTGAATGATTTCATTCAAATCCATGACATAAATAAAACTAGTATTTGTTGTATGAATTCAAGTACAAGATGGAATATCTTGAACAGACGTTAAGTAAAAAGAACAGTGTGTGAAAACTAATTCTGCCTGACAAGTTTTATTGCTATCCAAGCATAGAGATTGACTACAGATAGAATTAAACACACAAACACGGTTGCCAAGTTTGTAGTGTGCATGGCGAACAAACTTCATGGCTGTTTGGCAAAAGTGTGACTGATAATAAACCAATCAAATAGCAGCTTAGTTTCTACTCTATACACGTGGGTGGATAAGCGCGTGTCGAAGTTTTCTCATTGGTTATAACAAACTAGTTTCAACTAATCCGGAGCAAATCTAGCTATGATTGGTCCATTTGCTAGCATGCGTATTCTAATCTGAAGAGAAGAGAAAAATATATAAAATATGCCACTTGGTCTGAGTTCATAGTAATGATCGCTATGATACCTTTTAATAACTCTGTTGGAAGTAACTCACGTGTACCACCAATTTACAGCATAAATAAATATCCAATATTACCAAACAATACATCTGGGAATGATTCATCTAATCCTATTCCTCAATTCTCAACCACCTCTCGTCGAGGTAGACGATCAGCTATTCCACCTGAAATTAGAGAACAAACACGTCGAGTAAGTTTTATCCTATGATTGAAATTAGTAACTACATAATAAATTTGATGTTTTATCTTATAATATTTGTGAAATTCACTCAGATAAGTTAGTTATTTCAACATGATGTACTTTTATTCAGTGTTTAGTGAGTATACCTTATCAGGGAAGATATCAGAAAGTAGTTTTTCAACGATCCTCAGACTGATTTCAGTTAGTGTCGAAATTTACAATGAAGTTAGTAATGAAGTGAGAGAAAATAATTAAATGAGCAGTATGTTGTCGAAACGGGCATATACGTGTAGCTCAGTAGTCCATTTCACAAATTCTGCACAAAATGATATCGGTTCTTATGATAGTGGGAAGATAAATTCCCTAAAGTTTGAAGGTTTCATTACTGATGAGTGCCAATAAAAACGAAATCTTAGTACACAGCATCTTTCCTATTGATTCCTAACATCAGAAGCCACTTCCTAAGTCTTATGCGCTGATAATGCAGAAACTACTGACCAAAAGTATGACTTCACTCACCAAACTGTTAGATATTTTCAAGTGTTGGTTTGTAGGGATTTGGTTGATTGATCACAGGATTTCATCATGAGCTGACATTGGTTAGAGAACCATTGGAATACCTGCGAGTACTGGACACCCTGACCAATCAAATCACCACAAACCAACACTTGAATATCGATGAGATGCTCACTGGCTACTTGCCCTATTCAGGTAGGTAGTTACTTGGGGTTCTAGTGAGAAGTCGTGATTAGTGGGGTGCAGCAGGTCGGGTCTGGAGAGTCCCAAACTAGGCAGAAACAGCTTGGTGTCCAGTACTCCTTGGAGGTTTTTCAATGGTTCTCTAACTAATGCCAGCTCATAATGAAATCCTGGTAGATATGTTATCCGTCTCAAGTATTTAATGTTTTTTATATTTATTTCCTACTTTATATTGTTTACCGACAGATTAAAAAGCAAAATATGGAACGTAAACGACGTGCATGCATCTCGGATAAAATAAATGCCTTACATAATTTGGCGATGAATCTTATTGGAGTTGATGTAAGTCTTATTTATTTATTTCCACAAAATTCCTATTAATTAAAATCATATTCAATTAATTATCAATATGAACATACTGTTACGTAATTCAACCAGTGACCAGCTTACTTTTGATTTCGAGCATAGAATATTAGTGTATTCAAAATATACATAGTACAATAAATAGACAAGGATTTAGATGCATATAGATTGGTCACTAGGGTGTTTCTAGACCTTAATGTTAGTACTGTCGGAATTCTATTAGTAAAGTTTCATCTGTCATTAAAAACTATGTGACTCGTCATCACGAAGCATTCTGAATTAATGTTGAATAGTTGGATACAACCTATAGGAAGCCCTAGGCCTTGGTTTCCTACTTGAGGGAGTTTTTCTTCAAGGCGTATCTGTAACCTCGAAGGAATTAATGTCCCCTGTAGAAGATTGAAACTTGTATCACCCAGTGTTGCAATCAGAGGTATTACCACTGGACTATTCACATTCGAGACTAACTTCCAGTAAGACTTTATAACCACTGTCCTGTGTCTAGCCTTATTACTGCTAATGCTGACTGACATTATATCACTAACACTTTTTTAAAGTTGAAATTAACGTCTGTTTTCAAACCCTTTTTTATCAATATATTTTGTTTATTCATTTCGGCTTTTTCCGCAAGAAGAAATTCCATTTATATCTCGGTAACTACATGCATATTCTTTGTTTGACGATAAACTGACGAAGATTGTCATCATTGTAACAACTAAATTATTGTTTAGTGTATGTGTGTGTGACTGGTCCTCATAGTTTATTCTTCTGTATCTTTTTGGTGTTTGTGGATGTGTCTACTGGAGAGAGAGAAAAAAATCACAACCATTTGTCCTTATGGTTCATTGAATATCATGATTATTTTTCATAGTTGAAATTAGCCAGGCAATCAGTTGAGGCTGTAATTGCTTATTCACACATTTATGCCTGATTTCTTTCACTAGGCCTTCATTCTAGGAGTGATGCTGACAATGGTGCTTATCTTGATCACTATGGTGTGTGTGTGTGAATGTGTGTACGTGCGTCGTTTCACAGAAATGTATGACTAACAAATGAATCACTGTGATATATTATCCAAAAAGTTATTTTTAGTTGATTGATAACACGCCAGAATGATTATATATATTTTTTATTCAAGTTATGCTTAAACGCTGATAATTAACCCTTTTAAAAATTTCTTGGATATTCATTTTTGCTTATGTGAAATGTTTCTTTTTGTGATAAAATGTTTACTAACTACAGAAGAATACATAAACACAGGTTTTGTCATCCGGCAGACTATTATTGATGTAAATCTGAGATTAAAAAATAACTTTTGGCGACGACAGGATTAAAAATCAGCAGCCTTGATCCAGCGCTGTGTCTCATACCTCACCTGGCAACCAGATTGGTGGGTGATTCGGTGGAGTTATGCGGTTCAAATGCTGTCACCATCTAGACTTTGACTTCCCATTGTGTCATTATTACTTATATATCATATAAATGGTCCAGTGTGTTTTTAGTTTAGGGGTAGAGTGCTCACCAAACACACACAAAGGCCGGGTTTCGATTTCAAGCAGACACACTTCTAAAACTCGCCTAGTATTCTAGCCGTTAGTAAGTCCGGAAAAGAGGAAGAGTGGGGCCTGGACTAGAAACCCCCTCAATCCGTTCAAAACCATACCCCTCGTTACAAGGACTTCAATTCCCCAGGTCTCTAGTGGTATGTTCCATATAGAACTTAGGGAATTAGAAATATAATTAGTTACATTTACTTCTACATGTGTTTTTAAGCACAGCGACTGTGAAAACTCCGTTTTATTTATATTTCCGATTTCTCAATAGTTCATCATTCATTACTTGTACAGCATGAAGTAAAATAAATGAATAGAGCCTGTTTCTGCTTAGTTTAGAAGCCTTGTGCTGCATGCAAAGAAAACAGTACATGAACCTCAGAGTTGTCGTGGTCATCACTTTTCTATTAAGTCGTTATCTTGCGAACTGTATATTTGTGTCATTAGGAGTAATTAGCTATTGAGTTAAAATATTCTGGTGTTTTATGTTTAGCAATTTAAAAGTGTACTTGTTTTAAAGCATTAATTTTCAATTTCTCTTTCTTATAGTCACATGAATATCATAAAGTTGAAAAGGCTGATATTCTGAATTTATGTCATAGTGTATTCAGAGGAATTGCAAATATCGTCAAAGATGACCCTGGTACGTACGCTTTTCCTTTTTTTTTCTAAATTATTTGCAACTTATTTTTGAATTACTTTTCAAAAATAACATTTCTCTGGATCTCATATTATGTCTTTTAATCAGCTGTACAAGTACTGACTTCCTATTATCAGAGAATGATAATACAAGTATGTGTAATGATTGATATGTATAGCGATGTGCTAAGGTTCAATTCAGAGAGCCACACCAGTTCAAACCATTAGAATTCTGTCTAGATACCGCTTTATTTATTAGTGGTTTACAAGTAGTCACAACAGTCAGTAAGTAGTGTACACCATCATATCTTCCTTCTCAAGTTTGACCACGGACTGATATCAGTTAGAGAACCACTGAAAACCACAGAGTATACTGGACAACTGTTTCATCCTAGTTTAGAGTCATGGACAGCACACACCTACCGACGGGTTTCGAACCCAGGACCTACCAGTTACTAATCAAGCTCGTAGACCATTCAGCTACCGGGACCCGATTTAATGGCCAGCCCATGAATACCAGCTCGTGATTTTTAGTGCGACCACCAACCAGTGTCATCAGTGGGGAATCCATTCTTACTTCCGACTGGATGGACCTCACTGGTCACGACTTCTCATTAGAACTTCAAGAAACTCTGTTCTGTAGCCAGTCACTAGTATCAGACTATTTTTCAAGAGTTGATTTGTTTTTCGAATTGGTAGAAGTTAGAATTCACGTGCTGGTCACTGAATCGAGTCCCAGTGGCTGAATGGTATACGAGCTTGACTTGTAACTGGAAATTCCTGGATTCGAAACCCGTTGGTGGGTGCGTACTGCCGATGAATCCCAAACTAGGTTGAAACAGCTGTTCAATACTCTGTGGTTTTCAGTGGTTCTCTAACTGATATTAATCCGTGGTCAAACTTGAAAAACAGATCAATTCCCTACAAATCAAGTCTTGGGAAAATTATCTTCTTTGCTTGTTTGGTTATCATTTCATGGTATAAAGTAGATCGATCACATATTGCGATATGAAGACGTTTCTTTAAGAAAGTATAGTGAATGTTCATCCTGAAGTGTATAATTTGCCAATGACGACTGATCGTATTCTGTATTGCAGGTAGAGTGGAGTACCGTTTGAGTTGTTACTCTGAGTACTTTAATGATTGATTCTACTCCAAATGAGTAAGACAGTTGCCTGATTTAGGTCATTCCAATATGGTTCGTAAGGATTGCTGGTTAATCTAGGGTACTTTGTATGAATTGTGTTGCATAGAATTCGTAGTTTGGTAAAACGTAAAACGTACCCCTTTATGAACTATAATATAGAAACGTTGGAAACTAATCAATTACTCAAATATTGATCATTATTTGATCAATATATTAAATTTAAAGATTTGTTATTCCATTGAGATGGATAATCAGGTGTCTGTTACTGATATCATATATGGACAAAATCGCCCAGTTAGCTATTATTGGACCTTGTAATCTAGTCAATAGGTCATTATTTGAACAAGGCATTAAGAAGACAAATTTCGCGAGATGATATCGTCATTTCGTAGTTTCTTTACAATAGATCATTAGGCTAGAACTCCGAAGGTTGTTGATTTTCAGTCAAATCGCTATCTGCGTTAGCGATTATAACCATATGTGATGAGTGATGACATAAAACACAACTTAAAATACCCAAATATGAATAAGCGTCATTTGCACACAAGTAAAAACGAAGTATCCCTGATGCAATAGGTGGCATATAGAGTAACTTTGAAGTCTGAAGCCTAGATAATATAACTGTGAAGAAACGTTTACCTATCACAGACTATAGCATGAACACTCTTAAGCCGTACAAGTAAATACCTCATAGGAAAAAATGTTCTAGTTCACAACTTAACGTCAAGTATCTAAATAATATATTACCAATTTCATTATGTGAACAGAGCAACGCTACAATAAGCGTTATTGTTAATGTATGTTATTGTAATTGCTTCTTTACATTTACTATTTCTTTTTTGCTCCCTTTCCCATAGAATTACAATTACGTTTACGAAAATTACGTGATAATTTGAATGAAACATCATCCACTTCAACGTTGCCATCATTGGCATCAACATCATCTGTTGGAATAAAAGATGATTCAATCAAATCCATTGAGAAAATGAAGTTAGATCAACAAGAAGACAAGCCACTGTATCAATATCCTCAAAATGTTGTCTACTATCATCAAAATCAGAATGTATCATCATCATCAAAAGTATCTATCCTTCCGTCTTCTTCACTATCATCAGTCTACTCTCCATCGAATAGTATTGAGTACCAACAATATAATAATACTGACGATAAAGAAAATCTAAAAATACCAAAATTAACTGTAAGGAATGTTTCATCCTACACAAAGTATATACCTGTTACTACTCCTGCTCCTCTACCTCCTCCTAGTACCATTCCTACATCCTGTATGAATAGTGATACATCCCATTGGACGCTGTCACCGCCATTATCCTCTGTCATACAATCGACTCCATTGAATAATCTACAATTAAATCATCTCATACATTTACAAGAAAGAAAGAGGCAGTATGAATCAACACCCATACAGCAGCAGCCTACTAAAGTATTCAATTCACCAATCAATTATTATTCTAGAGACAGCGGTTTTGATAGTATGCAATCAGTCGAAATGACACCAACAAATATCAAACAAATGTTTACATTGAATGAAGATGATACTAGTCCAATTCGATTGATGAATCATAATTCTTTATTCAAAGAAACGTCGAATATTTCAATGCCTTTTTCATCGTCAACAACACCTTCAACGTCATCAGAAAATTATCAGTCTGTATTGTCGACTCCTGAACTGAATAGACTGCCTGTTTTTGATATGATAAAAAAGTTAAAGGATACTCCATTGTCGTTGAGTAGTAGTGATGATTCAACGGCAGCCAGTACTACTGATATTTGTTCATCGATTGTAGTTACTCATAGTAATCCAGTTGGTTGTACTAGTGATCCTTCTGTTAAACCTATGTGGAGACCATACTTAGATTAACTCTTTTTACTTTTTGTTTTTCCACTTTGATTGGCGCCATACAGTTTATTGTATATAATTAGAATTCTTACATACACACAGGACATTCATTTAATATATCCATATACATTCAGATATAATGTACAGTTTTATACTCAGGATGCCTTGTTGAAGGCACTCCACGAAATGTATTCACCTTTTCGATTTTATTTCCTAATATTAACCTTTTTTGAGTACCTGATTATTCACTAATTAAAAAATTATCAACTTCTATACATAATTAATCGTTATTCGAAGCAACTGTTAAAGGTCCAGGGGAATTACATAACTTGGTATGTTATAAAAGTTGGAAAAGAGTTAGAGGGGGTGGTCAAATCGAAACTTGGTATCAATCTATGAAGTCGTTGAGCCACATAAAAGGAGGTGTAGACCGCCTACTTGGGGGCATTGGGATGCTAAGATGTATAATAGCTTCAGACTGTTAGTAATATATAATTGGTGGATGATGACTAGCAGTGGAATCCAGAATACACATTTCGTCCGATTGGGGACTCGTCATCTGGATGTACCTGCATTCTCCAGTGAGTGATGATGTTCCAACCTGGGCCTATTCAGTTAAATTAATATGATACGTTGAACAGAATGGTGGCTGTCGTGGCCCAAGTGGTCTAGTGGATAACGCTTTGGCTGGTGTTTGAAACTACGGGCACTGGGTTCGAACCTTGGTGGGAAATGCAAGTATATCCAGCTGACTTACTTTACTTTTACTTTACTTCGGCTATCTCCTACGGGAGGATGAGCCGGCTTCATGAACGTCTCGAATCATCGCTGCCCAGGCGCGGCAATTTGTAAGAGAGTTCATGAAGTTTCATGGGAATTGGGTACGAGTGATGTCCCCAGCATCGCTCGGCCTTTTGTTTGAGAGTGCAGCTCTAGCCTTTACACAACCAAGTGCGACCTACAAGGCAGTAGGAGTGGAGTAAGGAGTCCACTATCCATTGGCAGCCGATGACCGGAGTTCGGTTCATACGCCTTTTTGAATGGGGCCAGACATCCAGGACATCCAACAAGCCCTTTGTCCATACGTCTGCCGGTGAGCTCCAGTGAGCTTCATACGCCAATCGTTGGAGGTTTGGAATCAGGGTTTAGCCATCTCCCCTAGACTGTCATCCAATGGACAGTCAACCCGGTGGAGAGCGCCGGGCATCCGCTTTCGCCCTCTCACTTTAGTGAGAAACACCTCCGCCACGTGAAGGCAGTGAGTAGGACTTCCTCAGGAGAGGCTATGTAAGACGCCCGGTCATATGGGAGCATTTCAAGAGGTGTGCGGAGGGGTGGCCAACCCGCAGCGCAAGGCACCCACCCCCGACCATCCTGAGGCTTTGGAGGCTGACGAGTTCCAATTGGGACGAAATGCGCGTTATCCTGACTGGATTTCACTGCTAATCACCATTCACCAATTAAATTCGAACTAAATTTCCAGATATCATCGAGTCGTCTGCACTAGAAGCCGACATGTCAACCTGAGACCGAGCACTTCGGTTCAATCAATCGACGGGAAAATTTAAAATTCAATTAAATGTTAGTAATATGGCTTGAAATCATTCTCAACGGTGCAGATGTATTCACTCTTGGTAATCTCTCAGGTTCATTAAATCTTCGTGTTTCTCCAGGTTACTATTATTTGTGTCGTATATGTCTGCTGAGTATAGCTCTTTTGATTGAACTAGTGCACTTCTCTGCAGACTTCTATAATCAAGCTCAATCGGTCAATTAGTCAATATAATTATATGAAATCAACTCCTCTTGTTAAGAAGTACTAATTTTAATGTAACGATTTATGATGAATCAATTACCTTCAAGATTGAAATGCTATTTGTAACCTAAATTTTAATTTCTAATTTGAATTATTCGAAGTTAAGGTTAACAACAATAATAAAGTGTTAGAATTTTAAACGATGACTCACTGACTAGAACACATCATGTATATCTAAGGTGTAGTGTGAATAGGCAGATAGTGATTATAGAAGTTGAAAACCAGAGTTCAATGTGTGTGTGTGAACCTACATATGGTTGTCAAGCTAACTTAGCATGAAATAAATGTTACTCTAACGGAATATGGTCAAAACACATAACACTATAATGTCAGTTAACAGTCTGCTTTAAAGTGTTACTTTAGTCAGGCTTCTAAGTATCGTAGATTGGTAACCAACATGACACAGTCAATTATGTGGACTAGACAACATAGAAATAGTTAAGACTTAATGACAAGTCACTATAGCTTAACAGTGTTCGAAGCATTTATTGAATACGATAAGGGTTTTTAGCGAAAGTATGTATAATATAACTATGCCCGGTACCCTGTGGTTTCTGTTTGATTCCATGACTGAGATCTACCTTGAAATCAATACAATCCATATAAGCCTAACAATTTAACGTTAATCTTACTACTCATAAGTAGCCATCTTTGGCGTGTATTCTCAAGTTCTAATTAAAAATTGCTACTGGTGAAGTAGGTGCTCATCATAGGGATTAGTTAGTGGTGACATTATGTAATGAATTAAATCAACTAGGTTAAAGTTCACCAACTGAAAACCTCGTATCTTGAGGGTCTTGTTCTCAATCTTTGATAGGTTCATGGATGAACATTGCTGAATATTTCCAGTATATAGTGATTAAGTAAATGATGGTGGTTTGTAAAGACATCTAGACCACCAGAAACGTAAAACTTAGAAATCATACTAAGATCCTTTTAATACCAATCAGTGATATTATCTTTAAAGTATAATTTTACTCTAACTGGAAACAAGAGGTTATTATTTTATTATATAACCGTCAAAGGTTCCAAAATAGCAGTAGGTATGGAAACTACATTTAACAAGAAATAGTATATTAGTAGGTTGTTGTTTGCAGAAATTCTTTTTCAAGATCCTGGAAATAAGTTTTTGAAACAGTACAATAATTATCAGTGTATTCATCTTGGTATAAACAACTGAGAAATAGAAAATAAGAATAAATATTGATTTTGGAGGTAGATTTCTCCCCAAAGCGACATCACTAAGAAAACATCAGAAAGCCATGTACTATTGGATTAGAGAGTTATGGTTTCCACCTAAACTGCCATTGAAATTTCAATCCAGAACTACTGGCTTACAAGTACAGTATGTTCACAGACTATTCAGTGATTTGGACAGAATCCAGTGGTCAAGGCATTATACCTTCTGTCAACTTATGATACAGATAGAACAACTGCTAAACAACGTTCAAATATCTGAATCACCGAATCAGTGCCGAATTAAGTTTTCGTAATATGCTACTCCACCAACTAACTTCTAACTGCATGCCCAGACATCGTCGAAGCATCTGCACAAGAAGCCGACAAGTCAACCTGAGATCGAGCACTTTAGTCCAATCAATCAACGGGAAAATCTAAAAATTAAATTAAATATGCTACTTCACTTAAAATGACACCATACGAGGTCATTTATTCTATTTTGATTGATTTCCGGTCAGCCAGTCAGTGTCAAATTGGCGATGTTATGTAAATCAATCTAATCACGGTTACACATTTCAATGAAACTAGTAAGTAGATTCATAATTTCATCTGCTTCATCCTATTTCAGCCGACAAAACACTGAAGTTAGGCACATACACTGGCTACATCAGTTGATGGTGATTTATGACTTTAATTGATTTGTATGTTTTACTCACTGTCCTATTCCTTACTTCTTGATTGCTCACAAAGTGGTTCCAACGAAAACTTTTCATGTGATAAAGATATTGATGGCGTCTTCAGTTTATATTATTTGATAGACAGCATATGACAAATGTTAACTAATGTATGGTACGCTCAACGCCTAACGTAGAACTGGCTATCTTGTCTGAACCATAAGTTAAAGCAACTTGCGTAAACTTAAATGAGTCGTTTAATTTCTTCATCTGAAGTCCACTGTGTATTGAAATCAGTCCACATCGGAGTAAACTAATTTAGCCCCCGCTTATCATGCTATTATGTGACAACTCAATAGCAAATGAGTCTTAGATCCTTAAGGTGACTTCGGATACATACGAAATTGACACCAAAACTTTTGAAGTTGATCACTTTTCAACGCTGCCTATTCCACTTTCATCACTATGACTACTATTTTTAATTTCTAATCTTATTAAAGCTTGGTTTCACACAGTATTTCGCAACACATATGGAATTTTCAACATGTGATATCGGTAGCCCAAATTTAGCACTCCGACCATTGATATCAAGTGTGCGTCGTCTGGGGATCGGACCCCGGACCATGTGCATGGTCGGCGGGGGTCCTAACCGCTGTGCTCATCGAAGCAGGAGTTTGACTGGATTCAGGATTACATCAACAACTGACACGGGTTAGAGAACCTGGGAGAACTGGACAGTTGTTTCATCCTAGTTAAGAACTCTTTAACAGAAAGCATCCACCAACGGGGTTTGAATCCAGGACCTTTGGGTTATGAGTCTAGTCTGTTGGTCATTCATGCACTAAGTTTGAATCCGGTGACCTATGAATTCTAAATTCTAATTCCTGTAAATTCGTGTTATAGAGCCATTGGCGGCGAAGTTAAACAATAGCGTCCCAGGAGTGGGAACGCTTCAGTGACCTTGAACGCATGCTAGTCGTTGGCTAACGACACCTGTCATTATCATAGCTGAAATATCAACCCTATTCATCAAATAAGGAGCAAGTTTCATCCAGATCACGCTTTTAATTACTGTTTGGACAATGCGTTAACATCTCGTTAGGGTTAGGCTTAGGGTTAAGTTAAGTATTGGGGTTAAGGTTAGAGTTACAGTCATAATCGGGATTAGGGTTAGGTTTACGGCAGGATAGGGATTATCATTAGGGTTAGGATTAAGGTTAGGGCTAGTGTTAAGTTTACGGTTAGGGTTGCGATTAGGAATAGATTCGCAGTTAATGTCGCTTATTTCAATTTGTTTTATCATCCTCATTTTCCATGTATGTAGCCGTCAATCCTCTTACTGAAACCATAGTAATTTAACCGAGGGCTTTGGAGAGGACTACACAGCAAGAAAAGAGAGATGAACGATTCACGAAACAGCACATCTTCAGTCACTTCGATGAATACATCTACAGAAACTAGTCCAACTTAGCAACTGATTATCTCCATCATAACTGGGACGTATTTTTAAGTCATGTGTCAGAGAAAGATAATCTGTTTAATGTGTTTTCATGCATTTTCTTGTGAATATACGTCATT